TATTTTTAGTAGAGACAGGGTTACATCATCTTGACCAGGCTGGTCTTGAACTCCTAACCTCGTGATCCACCTGCCTCGGCTTCCCAAAGTGCTGGGATTACAGGCGTGAGCCACTGTGCCCTGCCCAGAATTCATGTTAAATCCAGGTCTAATTACCTTTATGACATCATCCTTTAGTCTATACCTTCTTTAAATTCGAGTTCTTTTTTTTTCTTTTTGAGACAGAGTCCTGCTCTGTTGCCCAGGCTGGAGTGCAGTGGTGCGATCTCAGCTCACTGCAACCTCCACCTCCTGGGTTTAAGCAATTCTCCTGCCTCAGCCTCCCCAGTAACTGAGATTACAGGCATGTGCCACCGCACCCGGCTAATTTCTGTATTTTTAGTAGAGATGGCGTTTTGTCATGTCGGCCATGCTGGTCTTGAACGCCTGACTTCAGGTGATCTGCCCACCTCAGCCTTCCAAAGTGCTGGGATTACAGGCATAAGCCACCACCCCCAGCCTTATTCTTCATTTTAAAGTAACATATTTTCAAAGAAAAAAAGCAAAAACATGCTTAAATATTCATATTTCCACATGACTTGACTTCCCCAATCTTGGCAAAAAAGTTGGAAGCTTATTCTCCAGAGGGGGTTAGAAAGTTTCTGGACTAGGAGCCCTCTCAGAAACCTAGAGGATGAATGAACTGAATGTGGACATACTAGAATGCTGAAACTCTCAGCTCTCCTCCCCAACAGAGCTCTCAATCCATCAGCTCAGAGTAAACCCTCCTGATGTGAGACCAAAAGTTTCTCCAAGAGATCCTGTCCAGCCCAGAGCAAAGTTCTAGAAATATAGACACTGGGGATTTCCCCAAAGAAGCTCAATGAGATCACCTTACAAACACAAATTCTTTTTAATACTCCACACTCTTAAATATAAGCAAGATTACCAATGATTGCCAGGCAGTTAAAGAAAGTCTGTAACATGAAAGATTAAACCGAAGAAACAGAAAGCGGAAAGACATATGCAGGGAGATGAAAGCTTCTACAGAGCATATTAATATCCTCAAAGATGTTCCAACAAGGAACAAGGTACTGTCTGTATATATCTACATGAATAAAGGAACAATCAGAGAACCAGCTTGGAGTAATCCTCCATAAATTATGATCAAAAGATAAGACAATTGGGGTTGGGGTACACAAGAAGAGGTAATTCTGGGTCCACCATCTGAGTAGCAGAAATTCCAGAAAGAAAAACCACAGACAGTGGGGCATGGTAGCTCACACCTGTAATCCCAGCACTTTGGGAGGCCAAGGTGAGTGGATCACCTGAGGTCACAAGTTCAAGATCAGCCTGACCAACATGGTGAAACCCTACCTCTACTAAAAATACAAAAAATTAGCCGGGTGTGGGGGCAGGTGCCTGTAATCCCAGTTACTTGGGAGGCTGAGGCAGGAGAATCGCTGAGGCAGGAGAATTGCTTGAACACGGAAGGCAAAGGTTGCAGTGAGCTTAGATGGCGCCATTGCATTCCAGCCTGAGTAACAGGAGTGAAACTCAGTCTTAAAAAAAGAAAAAAGAAAAACCACAGACAACCTAAGGAAAAAAATCACTGACAAAGAATTCAAGAAAGTTTGCCAGACATTAAGGACAAGAGTCCACTTGGAAAGGGGACTGGCATGGAAACAGACCTTCACCAAGGCAGGTATTAATACATCATTGTGAAATTTTGGAACACTGGTGACAGAAGGGTCAAAAAATAGTCATATAAAAAGGATCCGGACTCAAAATCACTTCAGACTTCTCTATAGCAATGCTAGATGACAAAGTAACCACACCTTCAAAATTCTGAAGGATACTGATTCCAACATAGAATTTCATACCCAATCAAATCAAGTGTGAGCACATTTTTAGACATGCAGGTACTCCCCCAAAATAAGGTGATAAAAGAAAAGGTTACACAGAAAACAGATCCAACAGAGGAGCAGTGTGGGGAGTGCCCAGGGTGACAGCGACACACCAAGCACAGGGGGAAACCAGTCCAGATTGGGGTGGGTCAAGAATAATAACTGATAAATGATGTGTCATGATCTTTAGATATGATTGGGGATGAATTAGTGACAAATAGAAAACTAAGCAAATAAAAATGCAAGAGGATTACTTTCAGGGAAAAGTTCCATAGTAATCTAGTCTATGATATGACTCAGCTGTGATTATTATGACACTGCCATATTTTTCAAAAGTTTAATCACATCTTAATAATTTAACACTGAATATGATTTAACCAGATTACAATATCAGGGAGATGGGTGAGAGGAAATATATTTATGGTGGGCAGGAGGAAGAGAGGATTCAAAAGATAATGGTGGCCTGGTGCAGTGGCTCACACCTATAATCCCAGCAGGCTGAGGCCGGCGGATCGCTTGAGCCCACGAGTTCAAGACCAGCCTAGGCAACATGGCAAAACCCTGTCTCTACAAAAAAATATAAAAATTAGCTGGTCATGGTGGTGCACACCAGTATTTCTAGCTACTCGGGGGTCTGATGTGGGAGAATCACCTGAGCCCGGGGAGGTCGAGGTTTCAGTAAGCCATGATTGTGCCATTGCACTCCCGCCTGAGGGAGAGTGAGACCGTCTTAAAACAAGCAAACAAACAAAAAACCATCAAGGAAAAGCATGAAAACATGTTCATATTAAGACATGGAGGTAAATACAAACAAATCAGCCAAGAGTTGGAAAGACTATCGCGAGACAAGGAAAGTGGGGTAAAGGCAGGGTAGGAGGGCTACTGTCTTTCATAATAAACCTTACGGAACAACTTGTTTTCAATATGCGTTAACTGATTTTTCCCCCTAAGATGCAGGATATAAAACTGTTTACAAAGCTACATATTTTAGATTGATCCCCCTTCACTTTTCAGGATCTAGGTAGGGTTATAGCCAGTTTCCACTATGTGGAGAATCTGCAAGGCTGGAGATCCTGTATGGGTCCAGGGTGAACTACATCAAAAGTAGTTTTTGGGATCGAGGATGCAGTTCACTATTATTAAGTGTGATGTATTATTATTCAAAGTACTGTTTACTGTGAAAGTATGATGAATTCAGTAATGGTTATACTAAAATAACATATTTAAGTACAGAGTCAAAATATGGCTCCAGGTCTCCTTAGATAGAATACTTAAGAATTACTGGGGACAAGGGAATTGTTTAAAATGCAGATTCCTGGGCCCCACTCCAGGCGTGGGGCTTGTAGTCTTCATTTCTAACAAGATCCTTAGCTGCTGTTGAAAACTACTGCTTTCATTTGTTTTGTTTTTTTAAGAGACAGGGTCTCACTGTCATCCAGGCTGGAGTGCAGTGGTGCAATTACAGCTCATTACAGCCTTAATCTCCTGGCCTCACGTGGTCCTCCTGCCTCAACCTCCGGGGTAGCTGGGACTGCAGGCGTCAGCTGTACTAGGCTACTTTTCAATTTTTTATAGAGATGGGGTCTTGCTTTGTTGCCCAAGTTAGTCTCAAACTCCTAGGTTCAAGTGATCCTCCCGTCTTGACCTCCGACAGTGCTGGCATTATAGGCGTGGGGCACCATGTTTGGCCTGAAGCCCTACTTTAAATGCCTATTGTATCTGACCAAGTCACTGATGCTTATTCCTCAGAAGAATACCAGTTCTGTAACCTCCAAGCAGTATCATAAGACAAAGCTTATTAGAAACTCATTGACGCCAGGTTAACTAATGTGCTGGATTTTTTTTTTCCTCCTCTTCCATTACTTGAACAATCTGTTCAACGAGCAATATTCTAAAGCCAATAATTGATCACTTTTCCTCTTGATGCTTATACTATAGCTCATACCGTACTGAATCCCTGGCAAGACCTCTTTTTGGTTATTTGATCTTTTAGGCTGCTTTTCCAATTTCTGTGTTTCTGTCACAATTATTCACCCTGTGTATCTCACACTCTTTACTACTACTTATGTTTCTTTAAAGACAAAGTCTTGCTCTTTTGCCCAGGCTGGAGTACAGTGTCAAGGTCATAGCTCACTGCAGCCTCACACTCCCAGGCTCAAGTGATCCTCCCACCTTAGCCTCCCAAGTAGTGAGGACTACAGGTGTGCACCACCATGCTGAGTTAATTTTTAAATTTTTTTGTAGAGACAGGGTCTCACTATGTCTCACAGGCTGGTTTTGAACTCCTCTCAATCCTCTACCTCAGCCTCCCAGAGTGCTGGAAGCAAGCCACTGTGCCCAGCTGCTGGTCACCCTTTCTACACTAAAAACTATGGATGTGTCAATCAATGCTGAGATGCTCTGATAAGCTCCCAAGAATCTGTTTCCCCAAATCACCACAAAACTGCTTGTGTAGCCAGTATAGGAGCCAAGGAAGTTGGCCACTAGGATCCCCTGAATTACCTTTTTTTTTTTTCTGAGATGCAGTCTCACTGTCGCCCAGGCTGAAGTGCAGTGGTGCAATCTCTGCTCACTGCAACGTCCACCTTCTGGGTTCAAGTGATTCTTCTGCCTCAGCCTCCCGAGTATCTGGGACTACAGGTACACGCCACCACGCCCGGCTAATTTTTGTATTTTTTGTAGACACGGGGTTTCACCATATCGGCCAGGCTGGTCTCAAACTCCTGACTTAGTGACTTGCCCGCCCTGGCCTCCCAAAGTGCTGGGATTACATGCGTGAGCCACCGAGCCCGGCCCCTGAATTACCTATGACTTTATCAAGGGACAGGGTCACCTGCATTGTTAAAGCTGAGCTGATAACAATTCCACAAATGTTAACTGAAGAAAGTGCCACACTAAGTGCCCGTGTCTGAAGATGAAAGAGACACAATCTGTGTGTTCTCGGAGCTTCTCCAAGGTGAACTCTTCTGGGGCTTAACCTGCAACTGGCCAGGAACAGCAGCTTAAACTCTCATCAATAGCTGTGCTATTTCAAAGTACTGGCATTCTCCCAGGACACCCCCCAGGGTGTCAAAATTTAGCCAAAGCAAACTCCAAATGAATACAAAGTCCTTATTTTCTCAAAGGAAAAAAACAAAACAAAACAGAACAAAAAACCCCCCAGATTTATTTAGCTTCAACATTTCCCCTGATCTAAAGAGAAAAATGTCAAAAGATACCTAGGACATATACACAAGCACCCACCCCAGTGAACTCAGATAACCTGAAAGAAAAAAGGGCAAAGGTCTGTTCAGCGGAGAAAATTATCTTCGTTTTTGAAAGATGTTTCCACGTCCCATTCCACGTCCTCTTCCTCTTGCAGCCACTGAAAGGGAAGAAGAGAAAACAGGAGGCCAGGTCAGTGTGGTCAGTGAATGCTCATAGCACAGAGTAGCCAGGGCTTAGGACACCAGTTAGAAGGGTTCTGAAGGGTTACCTGGTCCAACATCACCCTGGCCATGGCATTTCTGCCACCCCCCGCCTTTTTGAGACAGACTCCCACTCTGTCGCCCAGGCTGGAGTGCAGTAGCGTGATCTTGGCTCACTGAAACCTCCACCTCCTAGGATCAGGTGATTCTTGTGTCTCAGCCTCCTGAGTAGCTGGGGACTACAGGCGTGAGCCACAACGCCTAGCTAATTTCCTGTATTTTTAGTAGAGACAGGGTTTCACCATGTTGGCCAGGCTGCTATCGAACTCCTGACCTCAGGTGATACGCCCACCTCGGCCTCCCAAAGTGTCAGGATTACAGACGTGAGCCACCACACCCGGCTGACAGCCACTGCATTTCAGAGCGGGGATGGAAGCAGAGGGGCAGGGGCTGGGGACTGGCATCAGAGCAGGAGGTAGTACCACACTCTTGCCTTCCAGTCCCACACTGCTCTCTCCAAGAGGCTGGGAGGTAGCATGCTGAGGGCAAAGAAGGTGGTCTGAGAGCTACAGAAGAGAAATCCCTGGGGCTGGCCTTGGCTGAGCTAAAAAACATAGATGTACTGAATTCATTTTTTCAATTCTGAAACAAATATACTTAAGTGTTAACAAGTGTTAGATCTGGGAGAAGGGTTATTTTTTGTATTTTTTTCTGAGAAAAGAATTATTTCAGGCTAGGTACAGTGGCTCATGTCTGTAACCCCAGGACTTTGCGAGGCCAAGGCAGGCAGATCACCTGAGGTCAGAAGTTCGAGACCAGACTGGCCAACTTGGCAAAACCCCGTCTCTACTGAACACACAAAAATTAGCTGCACGTGGTGGTATGTGCCTGTAATCCCAGTTACCTGGAAGGCTGAGGCAAGAGAATCACTTGAACCTAGGAGTCAGAAGAGGTCTCAGTGAGCTGAGATCGAGCCACCGCACTGCAGCCTGGGCAATGGAGACTGAGTCTCAAAAAAAAAAAAAAAAAAAATTCACAGTAGCAAAAAGAAAACACTCTCCATATCAACAGCATGATAAGACTGTTGTTCTCCTCTGTAACCCAGGGGTTCTAGGAGAACCCAGGGTTTGAAGGACAGATAAAATTTTTTTTTTTTTTTTTTTTTTTGAGATGGAGTCTAGCTCTGTCACTCAGGCTGGAGTGCACTAGCATAATCTTGCCTCACTGCCACCTCCACCTCCCGGGTTCAAGCGATTCTCCTGCCTCAGCCTCCCGAGTAGCTGGGACTACTGGGACCCACCACCATGCCCGGCTAATTTTTGTATTTTTAGTAAAGACAGGGTTTCACTGTGTTGGCCAGGCTGGTCTCAAACTTCTGACTTCGTGATCTGCCCACCTCAGCCTCCCAAATGCTGGGATTACAGGCATGAGCCACTGTGCCCGGCCCCTCACACTATTTTATCTTTAAACTCGAGCTCTCATCCATGGTTCCCGGCTCATAACTCCTACAGTCCTTGTGATAGTCTTTTGTTATAACGTTGGGGCACTTTAGGCCTCAGAAGCAGGACTTGGGAGACAGAATCTCTCTCTTGAAACTTCTCCTGCCCCCCTTTCACCTGCCCAAGGCCAGACCCTAATCTGAGTATGGGTCATAAGACCTCACCCCAGAGAAAGCTCCTGCCCTATACCCTGGAGGAACAGATGCTGCACAGAGAGGCCAAAAAGAGCCTGGACAGGCCTTGCGGGGTCTCCCCACCCCGTCTCTTAGTATTAGATCACACCCTTTTTGTCTAATGGCATTTCCACATGGTTGTCCATCCTTTAACCATGTCAATCCAATGAAGTCTTCATAAAAGGCCCAAGAGGACAGGGTTAGGGGAGCTTTGGGACAGCTGATCACGCGCAGCCTGACAGGAAGGTGAACAAGAACTCATCCATGTGCCGGGAGGAAACTCCATGGGGATAGAAGCTCTTGTGCTTGGGACCCTTCCAGATCTCACCCTACGCATCTCTTCATGCGGCTGTTTACTTGTAGCCTATAAAATATCCTTTGTTATAAACCAGTAAACTTAAGTATGTGATTCCCGAATTGTGTGAGCTACTCCAGCAATTAATCGAACCCAAGGAGGGAGAAGTGAGAACCCTGACTGAAGCTAATCAGATGTTCTGGAGGCCTGTGCTTATGAATAATAGTGGGGGGTGCAGGCGCAGTCTTGTGGGACTGAGCCCTCAACCTGTGGTTTTTCAGGCTATCTCCAGGTAGACAGTGTCAGAACTGAAGGACACCCAGCTGGTGTCTACTGTGGAACTGACTGCTTGCTTGGTCACAGAAGTCTTCTTTGTTGATGGTTGTGTTGTGAGAGGAGAGGAAAAACACAGTTTGACTTTTTTCCTCACACATACATAAAACATGTATAGCAGCTACAGATACCAATGCCTTCCCTGGCTGCAAACCTTTTTTATCAACACTAAGACAGTTTCCAAGGGCCGCAATTACTTTGTGGCCTAATCTAATCAACATGACAGAACTTTTCATGAACCTAATATAAAACCAAATTAGGCTAACCAAGAAGCAAGGCCAGACTAGGGGAATGGGAAAAGGACAGTCCCACTTTTGGAATGTACTAAAAGGCGGCTTTATTTCTGAAAACGGAGCTCCACTATCAGATCTCCCTAACTACATGCAGGGTGTCCATCCATAAGACCCAGTTTTGCTAGGAAATGCGGCTCTCACACTCCACGAGTCAGCTCATCTGCTCCGGATTGTGTGCTCGGCAAACTAGATGAGGGCAAGCTGTCCCACACCTCTCACACAGAACTTCTAGAAAGAAGGGCCTCTCTGGGTGTGGTGGTTCACACTGGTAATCCCAGCCCTTTAGGAGACTGAGGCAGGTAGATCATGTGAGGTCAGGAGTTCGAGACCAGCCTGACCAACATGGTGAAATCCCACCTCTACTAAAAATACAAAAATAAATAAATAAAATAAATTAAAAATAATTAGCTGGGCATGGCAGTGCACACCTGTAATCTCAGCTACTTCAAAGGTGGAGGCAGGAGAACTGCTTGAACCTGGGAGGCAGAAGCTGCAGTGAGCTGAGATCACGCCACCACACTCCAGCCTGGGTGATAAAGCGAGACTCTGTCTCAAAAAAATAAAATAAAAAAAGGTCCTCCTAGAAATTTATTATAGGAGATTCATCAACCCTTTCACTTAAGACAGTATTCCAGATGCAGCAAGACAGAGAAGGCCAGGCAAAGCCTCATGGCCCCACAGGATCTCTCCATCCTGCAAGGGGAAGGGGTGGCAGTGGATGTGGAGAGAGCAGAGGTCAAGCCCTCTTTGTTCCCAGGCAGTAAGAGGGCCCCTTTCTACAAGACACAAGACAAACCTGTATTTTAAAACCTGTGCATGAAGAGCACCTACCTTGGGCCTTGAGAATAGCAGCTTTTCCTCGGCCAGCCCCTGAGCCTTGGTTTTTATTTTTCATGCTCTTTAACATGGGTGCATTCTTCAGCATGTCAGGCAAAATCAGAAAGCGGATTTTGCTGCCACGGATGTATACCTGCTCCAGCTGTGCCACTCGGCCATCTCTGTATGTGACTGTGATGTTGGACATCTGGAAGGAAATCAGTGGCTAATCAATTAACAGTCAACAGCACCAGTGGTGGGGAGGGCCTTGACTGGTGGGAGGCAGAAGTCAAGAAAAGCAGACTGACATTGTGAGAAAGCTGGTGAATTACACAGCAATCATCAGTACTAACTATGTACACTAGGGATTGCACTGAGCACTTTACCTAAACAGTTCTCACAACACCTCCAGTGTGGGTATGAGCGCTCCCTTTTTTTTTGAGACGGAGTTTCGCTCTTGTTGCCCAGGTTGGAGTGCAATGACGCGGTCTCGGCTCACTACAACCTCTGCCTCCCAGGTTCAAGCGATTCTCTTGCTTCAGCCTCCCGAGTAGCTGGGATTACAGGCATGCGTCACCATGCCCGGCTAATTTTGTATTTTTAGTAGAGGCGGGTTTCAACAGGTTGGTCAGGCTGGTCTCGAACTCCTGACCTCAGGTGATCTGCCCGCCTCGGCCTCCCAAAGTGTTAGGATTACAGGCGTGAGCCACTGTGCCCGGCCGAGTGCTCCCATTTTTACAGGTTAAAAAAACCAAAGCAGTTATCCAAGGTCAAACAGCAGAAATGCAGGGAACTCCAGATTCGAACCAGTTGGCCTAGCTTCAGAGCCCTGGCTGTGCAGCAAAGATGTGAAGAGCTCTTGAAGGTGCTAAACTCTAACTAAAATAGCTTCAAACTGCTGGTCCAAACTGTCTTGCCCTGCATTGCCTGGCACTCAGATTTCAAAGGCATCATGAAGGTCACGAGTATATACCAGATGTGGTTCTGACCCTCCAGAGTGCATACTCTAGAATGTGAGACAGAACCCTATAGCCTGGGTGACTAGGGACTGAGAAATGGAGGTGGTACCACAGGGCCTACACAAAGGGCCTGAAATTACTGGAGGGGTATGAGGCAACAGCTTGCACAAGGAAAAGAGCAGGCACTGGACAGGGTCATTACTTCACATAAGAGTCAAGTTTGTCAATAGAGGAAAGATCAATAGGGTTCAGGCAGCACTTAGGAAAGATAAATGTGTCAACAAGGATAGACGGTAGGATGGACAAATGGGGAGCCTGAAGGTGAGACCAGCTTGGCATGGGAGGGTGATACCAATCTGCCAGCATCAACCTCAACAAGCACCACGTTTACAGAAAAAGCAGCTCACTGTATAAACCTTCTAAAGGGAGAGGACTATAATTTATTCAGAATGGGTCGGCCCATGTTGTAGAGAGATGGGCTATCTCCCAGATTTCTGTCTGGCTAGATGCCATCTTATACTCATTCATTCTTTTCCTCAAGTGCTAACAGGCCACCCAGCCTCTGCTTGAACACTCAGCGAGAAAAGAACAACTATGGGCCGGGTGTGGTGGCTCATGTCTGTAGTATCAACACTTCGGGAGGTCAAGGTGGGAGGATCACTTGAGCCCAGGAGTTTTGAGACCAGCCTGGGCAACACAGTGAGACCTCATCTGTACAAAAATTAGCTGGGTGTGGTGGCACGTGCCTGTAGTCCAGCTACTCGGGAAGCTGAGGTGAAAGGATCACTTGGTTCTGGGAGGTTGAGGCTGCAGGGAACTGTGATGGAGCCACTGCACCCCAGCCTGGGTCACAGAGCAAGATCCTCTCAAAAAGCAAACAAACATAACTATGCTCTAGGGCCACCCCTGTGGCATATGAGCAGTTTCTAGAGGAATGGTTTCTAGGGCTTCCACCCACTATCCCTGTTCTACCTTCAGAGGCACCAGGGCTCCAGTTTCCCATAAATCTTCTGCTCTAGGCTCCTCACTCCCAGCCTGTTATCAAATTTTCATCCAGTTCCCAAGTCCTTACCAATCCTTTTCTTCCCCTGAAGAATACCATAACCTCTAGTGCCACAAATGAACACCAGGTATGGTTAGACTACCCAAGAGAGAAACTAGATACAACTCAGGCTCACCTGAATCTGCTGACAATTGAAATGTGTTTTGGGGCTGGGTGTGGGGGTTCATGCCTATAATCCCAGCACTTTGGGAGGCCAAGGTGGGTGGATCACCTGAGGTCAGGAGTTTGAGACCAGTCTGGCAAACATGGTGAAACCCCATCTCTACTAAAAATACAAAAATTAGCTCGGTATGGTGGCAAACACCTACTTGGGAGGCTGAGGCAGGAGAAAATCACTTGAACCCAGGAGGTACAGGTTGCAGTGAGCTGAGATCACACCACTGTATTCCAGCCTGGGCAACAGAGTGAGACTCCGTCTCAAAAAAAAAAAAAAAAAAAAGGTGTTTTGGAGACTGTGCCACACTCATGACTCTGTAAAAGACACAAAATAGACCTAAAGACCTATAGGTGAGATCCAGCTCTGCCATTTGTCAGAAGTGTAACCCCAGATACATCTCCAGGCTTCTCTGAGCCTCCGTTCCCTCACCTACAAAGCTGAGGAAAATACAAGATGACAAAGCCAACATTTACTGAACACTTATTAGACATCAAGTGCTGGCCCAGGTGATTTCCCCACAGCAGCTCATGTCACCCCACAAAATCCTACAAGGTAAAGAGATGACGTGACATAGCCATTCAGAGGCAGATCTGTCCCCAGAAATCCATGCCCTTTCCCCCTCTTCTCCTGCTTGAGGTCACACCACGCTTACATGGCCTGGCTGGAGTTTGAACCCAGTTCTGTCTAACTCACACTCTTAACCACTGCATCTGATCACACCTCCTGAAATTGTTAAAAAGTAAACTAGGCCAGGCGCAATGGTTCATGCCTGTAATCCCAGCACTTTCGGAGGCCAAGGTGGGAGGACTGCTTGAGGTCAGGAGTTTGAGACCAGCCTGGGAAACATAGCAAGAACCCATCTCTACAAAAATTTTTAACAATTAGCCAGGTGTGGTGGTGCATGCCTGCGGTCCCAGCTACTTGGGAGGCTGAGGTGGGAGGATGGCTGGAGCCCAGGAGTTCAAGGGTACAGTGAGCTATGATTACAATACTGCATTCCAGCCTGGGCAACAGAGTAAGACCCTGTCAAAAAACAAACAAACAAACAAACCAAAGTAAACAAGCCAAAGTATGTCTAAATGCTGTCTCTATTGCCTAACACACAATAGAGACTCAGTAAATGCTAAATCTGATTGACAGTTAAAATGTGTTTTGGGAGTTGTGCCACTGCTAAGCCATACTCCCTCCAGCACATAGGGGCACATCTCACTCCTTTCCTGACAGAAGCCGTTGCGTAAGTCCAACAAGACTTAATCTAGGCATTTCCATAAATGAACTATGTCCTGGCTGAAGCAGGAGAGTCCAGTGTCATCTGACTCCTATTTTAACCCTAACAATCAGGCTCACTACCGCTCTCGCTTTCCCTGCAGCAATGGCTGAGAACAGCTTGCTGTGGACAAAACCCCACAGTCTAACGACACACACGCCTGCTAGAGCTTGCTAATAAGCCTGAGCTGTGTTTGTATGAGAAGCCAAAGGCAGCAACTTTTGAATGAACCAGATCTTAATCAAATCCAGGCAGGAAAACCCAGTTTAATCAACTTTCCTCAACAGCCACAATGAAACACAGATGGTATAAGCCAGGTACTCAACTGAAATGACATCCTGAGTGGGAGAGAGAGAGATAATCTTTGTAGCACAAAGCGATGGGACTTTCTTAGATACCTAGGGCCAAGATGGAGAAAGTTAGCTTCAGGACTGTGAAGGTGCGTTGGGGTGTCTCAGGCATGTCAATACACCAGAAATGCATTCTTTAGGACAATTTCACACATAAACAAAGGCAGAGGCACTTGGTTGCCACTGCTATAATAGGAATATCAACCGATGCCATCTACCTATTTTTGTTCTTAGGAAATACAAAAGTATTATGGGGTAGAGGAGTATGATGAATGCAATCCACTCACAAACAGTACAGGGAAAAAAGTATACGATAAGTTTAAAAAACTGGTTTTCCTTCAACCTAGAGGGCTAGGTGTCTAAAGAAATTCAACCACATTGAATTCAGAGATTTCAAAAACTTTCCTAGCAATAGTTATGGGCAATTTTCTGATCCAATCATGTGAGAGCTTCTTTCGGGTTCTCATTTTTATACAGTGACACAATACTATATTCCATACAGAGACCATTTTTCCAAAGACGGCTATTATGCCACAGCCAAGAAAACAGATTTCAAACAGTCCCATCAGCGATTGGGTGGTCATGTCAAAGCCCCAAAAGCACAACGTCTGCCTGTGCAGAGTTCTGCACCACATTCGCCCATCAAAACTTCTAAGAATTAAGTCACATTGAATGTAGTGAAATGGATTTGACCATTACTCTCTGTATTTGCTTGTATCATTTAGAATTTGGTTCCATTTTTATAAAATTGGGGACATATTTTGGAGTCTTGTTATTTTTCTCACTTACGCCAACAGTATTTTGACAGACATGCCATATCCTGCAGCACTGGTGACCAGTGCTTGGCTTGCAGCTTGTTGGAACGAGAACAAAAGCTCCCTGCCTTCCCAGCTTAACCTCAGATGCACACCCTATGACCATTTCAGGGACCTCATCCTGAGTTTCATATTACATATTTCCTTTTCTTCCTTAAAAAAAAAAAAAAAAAATTATATATATGAGACAGGGTCTCACTATGTTGCCCAGGCTGGTCCCGAACTCTTGGGCTCAAGTGATCCTCCTGGCCCAGCCTCCCAAAGTGCTGGGGTTACAGGCATGAGCCAATATGCCTGGCCATATTTTACATTTTCAAATGTCAAAAACAGTGCTAAGATAACAGGATACCTTAAAACTACTTGAGGGACCATAAAAGACAGTGTATTTTGTACAGGGATGTTGTCGAGGATATCATGTAATAGTGTCTCCTGTATCTGACTGCCAGGGAAATCCACACGATTGCTATTTTAACTTAAGAACATTGGCCAGGCACGGTGGCTCACACCTGTAATCCCAGCACTTTGGGATGCCGAGGCGGGTGGATCACGAGGTCAGGAGATTGAGACCATCCTGGCTAACATAGTGAAACCCTGTCT